TCAGCCTGTGGTTCTGGCAGTGGCAAACGCATCCTATCGCCGATAAAGATCTGTGGTGATGATTTCTGCAGTCGTGCTCGGCGTGGTGGTGATTAGCATTGCCCTTGGCTCATACTCCCGAGCGGCTGGCACGTTCTTGGCTTGGATAGAATGGTTTGAGCTCTTTTTTTTCCTCCCCCAGTAAGGATGGGTGGTTATTAAAGGCTTGACTGAAGTTCGGTAATGATGTTGCTGTTTCACCTGCACTAGCTGCAGTGATGGCAACCTGCACTTGAAAAGAGCTCGGGTCTTGACATTTCTCAGATGCTTTTTCATCTCCACACCCCTCTGGCTGTCGGCTTTGGAGCGGCACTGGGAAGACGTTTGTATAAGTGGCAGGGCCTTTGTGTGCCCGGGATGACAGCGGCTGTTCCAGCTGAGGTCTTCGCAGCATCTTGTTTCCTCTTTTCATGTTTTCTTGCTCCTAATTCACCATCTGACCTGTTGGGATAACTTAGTCTGGCTTCTGAGTGGAGATTGCCCAGCTTTGCTCCAGCATCGCTTGTCCCCCTCTGTGGGCATCAGGCAGCCAGGAGGGGTTGGACCAGCAGGTCTCTGGGTGGGCCACCACCACCGGGGGTCCCTGGGCTCCCCTTCTGTGCTCCCCAAGCCCAGGCAGGAGCTCCCCCTCCACCAGCTCCCACCCTGAGCCCCAGCAGCATCTTAAACCCAACCCTCTCCCGGCTGCGTGCTGACATTGCTAATTAGGTCAGTGGCTCCTGGTGAATTGGAAGTGGATGTGTTTGGGAGGTGGGGGAGGGGGGAGACGGGGGAGTTATTTGAGGTCTCTCCAACCTAGAAACCCAGAAAAGGTTTCTGGAGCTGTTGGGTGGCTCCGGTGCCTGCTCTGGCTTTCGGCACGGCCGTGACACCACGAGTGCCGCCCCGGCCCGCTCACAAATAGGGGGCTTTTTTTCCTCCTTTAAACTGGGAATTTGACTTGGGCTTAAAATCTGAAGCTGGCAACCTAAATCAAGGTCTGAATTTAAGACGCAGCGCTGGAGCAGTAGGTGCTTTGTTGGTGAGGACTTGGAGAGGATGCCACGGAGCCTGGGCACGCCGGGGATGGCACAGAGACACCTTCCCCCAGCCCTTAGGCATGTTGTCAGGTTGTGCCAAGCTAAGAAACGCGTCTGGCTGGGGTTTAAAGTGTGGGGTGGCTGCAGGATCACCCCCTCATCCCCAGGGAACGGTGACATGAGCAGCCACCGTGAGCCCCATGGCCTTAAGCAGCAGCTCCCAGTGCTGACGGGAGACGGTGCTTCTCCCTGACCTGCAGCAGTGAGATCTTACATTGCACTCTCTGTGCTTTTTTTTTCCCCCCCCTTGTGCATCCGGCATATTTAGCAAGGCTTTTATTTAAATTTATTTGAAAGCCCATTGTCATCTTGAGCAAATCCGAACGGAAAGCTGTCGAGCGAACAAGAAGCGTTGCTCGCCATTTTGTAATGTAATAACGTGTAAAAATCAAAGCTCTGCATAAATCAATGGCACATCAGGCATATTTACATAAAGTATATAAAGCGCTGAGAATACTAAATTTAGAGCATAGGCTTCTCTGCTTGCGCATCAACATGTTCTAACTGGCTGCAGCCATTAAGGCAAGCCTTTCTTTAGTGAAATAATTGAAAGTATGCTTGCAAAACGAGATTGAAATCAGGGATGTAAATAAGAATTTAACTCGCTTGTTTAAATTGTGATTAAAACCTAAAATCTAACCTCGCTAAGACAGGGAAGGCTTTCCCCCCCATGTTGGGATGTGGGGAGTGTTGGGGGGGGCAGAGGGGGGTTCCCTGGGGGCACGGCTGTGCCTGAGCTGTGGTGGGGATGCTCCTTGTGCTCCTGAACTAAATGAGCCGGTGGCGGACTCGTTTCACTCCTCACCTTCTCCTTCTCCATGGCCCAGTTAGGAAATTAAGCTGGATGAGTTTAGGGTGTCGGGGGCTGCCCTTGCTCCCGCCCTCCTGCTATTTCGGGTGCTGCCATGGTTGGGTTTCTTTCCAGAAATGGGGCTCTGCAGGAGGAGGGGGGAGCATCATCCCGTGGGAGAGGAGGAAAGGAAACTTTTTCTGGGAGCTGCCTGTGTTGCAGGGGTGTGGGGACAGCAGGGCTCAGTCCATCCTGAGCGTAGCAGGGCTGTGATGGAGGGGTTGAGGCACAGGGGAGCTGGGGGCTCTCTGGACTACGATGGAGGGGTTGGGGTACCAGACCCTGGGGGAGGTGGGGGCTCTCTGGCCTATGAAGAAGGGGTTGGGGTACCAGACGTTGGGGGATCTGGGGGCTCTCTGGGCTACGATGGAGGGGTTGGGGTACCAGACCCTGGGGGAGTTGGGGGCTCTCTGGCCTATGGAGAAGGGGTTGGGTACCAGACGCTGGGGGATCTGGGGGCTCTCTGGGCTACGATGGAGGGGTTGGGGTACCAGACCCTGAGGGAGCTGGGGGCTCTCTGGGCTATGATGGAGGGGTTGTGGTACCAGACCCTGGGGGCTCTCTGGGCTATGATGGAGGGGTTGGGGTACCAGATCCTGGAGGAGCTGGGGGCTCTCTGGGCTACGATGGAGGGGTTGGGGTACTACTGGAGGCTCTCTGGGCTGTGGGCTCTCTGGGCTACGATGGAGGGGTTGGGTACCAGACCCTGGGGGAGCTGGGGGCTCTCTGGGCTTGGAGCATCCTTCCCTCCCAGCTCCCCATCACCGCTGCCAGGCTGACGCCTCTGGGCTCTGTCCCTGTGCTGTTCCTGGGGCTAATAATACCCGGGAGGAGGCGGCGTGCTGCCGGCAGCGCCTCTGTCCCGAGCCCACTGCGGGGAGCGATGCTTTCCCCGAGCGCATCCTCCCACGGCCGCCTGCTCCTGCCCGTCGGCCCCACAGGCACGTGCCCGGGGCTGCTGCCGCCTCTGCCCAGTGTCCCCAGGCCTGCTGCTGGCTTCCCCAGTGCCCTCCCATATATGCCCCCCCCAGCCCCATTCCCACCCAGCTCTCTCCACAGCTTCACTTGAGGGTGATGCAAACACCTCCCCTATTTCTGCTTCTACACCCAATGGCCTCAGCTCAGTTAGCTTCATTTATTTCCTAAACACGGGTGTTTGCACTGGATTTTCTCATCTGGGTGGAAAAAGATCCTCCTTGAAAGAGGGTCGTTGGCTGCAAACTGGGTTTTTACCTATTTTTCGTAGACCTCTTTCCCCCCATCCACATTGGTGCCTCTGGAGAGACCCAAAACATGCCAGGTCCAGCAGGACCTCTGCGTGGGGTTTGCTCTCGAGGGAGGATGCTCCGAGCAGGGTGGGAGCAGTAGGAGCTCCAGCTCTGAAATAAGCCCCCTTTTGAAGTCTGGGATGTCACTTCATCTCAGCGCTTTGTTGAGGTTTGTTCCATTTTATGTGTCTGCTAATAAATATTGTAGCGTGCTAAAAATAACTGTTAAACACGAAGAACGAAGTAAAGCTGCTTTGGGCCCTGAATTTCCAGTTTAATTCCCTTCTCGGGGAAGCTCGGGCTTTCTAAAATGGGTTTGGCAGTACCTGGTCCTCACGGCAGCTTGTGGTTTTCCAGCCCGGTGCTGCCGTCCCGGGGAAGAGCCGGTGGCAACGGGGTGTTGCAGGGCAGGACAGTGATGCAGGGAGAGATGCTCCTCTCTGGAGGCTGATGTGGCTGCTCTCCCAGTGCCACATCAAGGGTGGAAGCTCCCCAGGGTGTTGAGGGAGGAGAAAGGTGGCTGTTTTTGGGGAGCCGGGGGCATCTCACGCCCTCCCTGCTCAGGGATGCTGGTGGTGTGGGCGAGCGGCAGCCCTGCCGTCCCCGGCGTTGCTCTGAAGCCCTTCCCTGTGCCACATTGGCATTGCAGGAGTCACCCTGAGCAGCCAGGTTACCCCACTCAGCCCCAGGTGCTGCTTCCATGCCCCGTATGGTGCTGGCAAAGCCCTGCGTGGCACTGCTGTGCTGGCAGAAGTCCCGTAGGTAGAGCAGGAGCCCGTGCCAGCGGAGGAGCCTCCTGCTGCTGTGTCTGCAGTATCTCTGCCTGGTGCTGGCAGGGACCCCAGCATCTGTGCCACCCCAGGATGTGGCATCGAGGAACCCCAGCAGCCCCCTTGCTGCTTGGGGCCGGGCAGGGAGTGCTGTGCCAGTAACCCCAGCAGCCCCCTTGCTGCTTGGGGCCAGGCAGGGAGTGCTGTGCCAGTGTGTAGGGCTGCCCTGGCACTGTCCCCATGTCCCCTGCACTGCTTACCCCACGGCTGACGGTGGACTAGATGATCTCTATGGTCCCTTCCAACTCTAAAATTCAGTGAAATTCAGTGAAAATTCAGTGCAGGGCTGCCCTGGCACTGTCCCCACGTCCCCTGCACCTCTTACCCCACAGCAAACTCCAACCGAAAGCACTGATGGTAGAGTTTTAGTGTTGGTGATGATTGGGGAGGGGTTTCACGTGTGACCCCCCCCAGCTCTCAGCAGCACAGCCCCTGCCCATCCTTGCAGGCAGCAACGGGCAGCAAGCGGTGGTTTGGCAGAGGAGGGACAGGGGGTATCCAGCCCGGGTGGTTTGTGCCCTGGGGTGGGTGGCTGGGACAAGGTTGGGGAGGGGGGGTGTCTGTGGGGGCTGTTTCCAGCCCTGGGTGCTCGGGGCAAGCTCCTCGGCGCGGCTGCGGTGCCCGTTTGGTGAGAGGGCGGCTGCTCGCGGTACAGCGCGTCCCGCCGCCCGCGCCGCTGCCAGCCCCCGCGCTGAGTCAGCGCCTCTGCGTGGGGAGGGGGGGGGCCCGATGAGTAAGGGCGGGTTGGAGGGGCTGTGCAGGCACACGTGTGCCTGTCCTGTGCTGGGGGGGCTCCCTGCGGGCCTCCCTACCCCCCCCTGCCAGCCCCATGGCTGCACCGCTGACCCCTCTCTGGAGGATGCTGTGGCATCCCCTGTGCTCGGGGGGCAAAGTGGTGAAGATACCCACCTCCCTGCCCTTCTTTCTGTTCCAGTACATCGAAGCCATCAGCAACAAGCAAGGTGAGCTGGAAAACTACGTCTCTGACGGCTACAAGACGGCTCTTACGGAAGAGAGGAGACGGTTCTGCTTCCTGGTAGAGAAACAGTGCGCGGTAGCCAAGAGTGCCATCACCTACCATGCCAAGGTGAGTCAGAGCCACCAGTCTGTGGGTCCCTGGGCACCAGGTGGATGCTCCTGTCACAAGCCATTGCCTGTGGAGCAGGGTGAGATCCTGAAATCCACAGCTGGTGCAGGGGGGCAGAAGGAGGGGACTATACCAACGGGTGCCCCACGGATGAGGTGCCCCGTGGGTCCCTGGGCACCAGGTGGATGCTCCTGTCACAAGCCATTGCCTGTGGAGCAGGGTGAGATCCTGAAATCCACAGCTGGTGCAGGGGGGCAGAAGGAGGGGACTATACCAACGGGTGCCCCACGGATGAGGTGCCCCGGGAATGCTCCCAGGCTGGGAGAGGCAGGGCTGTGCTGCCCTTCCTCTGAGGAGGGGGCATGTCTCCCATGGGTGCTGCTTTGTGTTTCAAAGCAGCTTCTGGCTGCAGGAGGTGGATAGGACCAAGGATGGTGCCAGCGTGGTGGGGCTGAGGGCAGAGCCTGGCAGCACATCAAACTCTCCAGGCGATGGAAGAGCTCGTGGTAGGTAGAAGGGGCTGAGTTCACCTCTCCTGCCTGTGGTGGCCACCAAGATCTGAGGGCTCTGACACGTCAGGGTCCTGCTGCATCAGCTGATGATGTGCAAAAGCAGAAGAAATGCAGAGCAGCGACGTTCCTGCTCGGAGTCGGAGCAGCGCTGCCCACCTGGCAAGGCTCACCCCAACCCTGGTCTTACCCCAGGTGGGTAAGGTGGGGATTAAACCAGACTGACATGTGCTCCGAGCCCCTCTTGCTCCTTCCTAGCCAGCCCACATCTCCTGGGCAAGGGGCTGGAGCTGCTGCCAGCCAGCCTGGAGAGCGGTGCTCCCCTGTGCAGGTCTGGAGTGGGATCCATCCGGATGAGGGCTGGGAATGCCAGCATCCTGCTCCCGTTCTGGTTGTTCCCCACTGCCACCCCCCGTCGCTCACAGCACCCATCTGTCACCGCCGCGCTTGGCAGCGGGGAGCAAGGAGAAGGAGCTGGGATTAGTCAGCGCAGTCCTGGCGCTGCGGGCTGCATGGATGCGTGGCATATGGGAACTCCTGCTGTAGTGCAGGAGGGGGAAAATCCCCCCCAGGGATGGGGGGGGCAGCAAGCAGGGGGGTGCCAGCACCTGCAGCGCGGCTGCGGCACGGAGGGACCAAAAGCTTCTTGGAGCAGCAGCACGTGGAGGGGGACTTTTTGCAGAGAGGGACCTTGCAGGCGGCTGGTCCAGAGGGCGGTGGGTGGACGTGGGACGTGGGCGCCTGGCCCCGCACCAGCCTGGCAGCCAGCGTGGGCTCTGCCGGCTAAAAACGCCATCCCGCTGCTGCCTGCGGTGCCCACGGGATGCTGGCAGTGCCCACAGACTGGGGACCGTCATGGGGAAATGTTCTGGGACTTGGAAATTGGCTTTAGAGGGTTTTTGTGATACATGGGGATCGCGTTGTCTCCAGATGGGACCAGTTGTGAAGCTGTGCGGAGGCATGGGCTCACCCTCTGCCACGCGGCTCTGCTGCAGGTGAGCCAGTGGGCACACTAGCCACGGGGCTTACCATGGGTCCACCCAGAGCAGGTCCCACAGGAACGTGTCCAGGGGGGTTTGAATGTCTCCAGAGAAGGAGACTCCACCACCTCCCTGGGCAGCCTCTTCCAGGGCTCTGCCACCCTCACAGCAAAGAAGTTCTTCCTCATGTTTAGATGGAACTTCTTATGGTCAAGTTTGTGCCCGTTCCCTCTTGTCCTGTCCCTGGGCACCACTGAGAAAAGATGTTGATCAGTTCCCCCCTCAGTCTTCTCTTCTCCAGACTAAAAAGCCCCAAGTCCCTCAGCCTTTCCTCATCAGGGAGATGTTCCAGGCCCCCCATCATCTTTGTAGCCCTCTGCTGTCCCCTCTCCAGCAGTTCCCTGTCCTTCTGGAACTGGGGAGCCCAGAACTGGACCCAGTGCTCCAGATGGGGTCTCACCAGGGCAGAGCAGGGTGGGGAGGGTAATGTCCCTGGATGGTTCAGGATATCTCCTTCCTTGGAGGGTCACACAATGAGATGCTCACTCTCACGACAGGAGTGTGTTACTTGAATAAGGGCATGTTTAGCTCCATCTTTTTTTTTTTATTTCCCCTCCTTGGCTCAGAGCCCGGCAGTGGACGGCTGCAGGTCCTGCCCATGGGCAGGGAACGGCAGAGTTTGGGTGATGGTGCCACAGCCCTAAGCATGAGGCTCATCCCTGGGGACCTGGGTGACAGCAGGGAGTACGGGCTGTTCCCCAACGAGCCTTTGGTCAGGTTTTATTTCTCTGCTCGGTCGAATGGGGCTGTTCCCGACGAGCCCAGCATCCTGCCCAGCTTCCCACAGCCCCTCCACTCTTGGAGCCGCCCCAGAGATGTCTCAGAATAAGCTGGGAAGATTAATTTTACCTTTTCATCCCTCCTTTCCATTTTTCATGACACCTTCCTGGCCCAGCTGCCGTCAGAGCCTGGCAGCGGTAAGTCTCCGTGTTTTATCTCCTCCGTGCCACGCACAGAGGAGTCGATCCATCTTGTGTCCAGGATCAGGCCAGCTCCGGATCCACACGTTTCTTCCCAGGGAGGGGTGCAGGGCTGGGTGGCTTTTTCTTATACCCCTGTGCCCTCACGCCTTGTTTTTCTCTCTTGCAGGGGAAGGAGATGCTGACGCAGAAGCTGCCGCTGTGGCAGCAGTCCTGCTCGGATCCCAACAAGATCCCGGACCGCGCCATCCAGCTGATGCAGCAGATGGCTGCCAGCAGCAACGGCACCATCATGCCCAGCCCTCTGTCTACATCCAAATCCAACCTCATCATCTCTGACCCCATCCCTGGTGCCAAACCTCTCCCTGTCCCCCCGGAGCTGGCACCTTTTGTAGGAGTAAGTATCTCTGTGGTGGAAATTGTCCTGCCCTTCTGAGCAAAGCTGGAGGGACGAGCCCTGGCCGGTGTCACCGTTGTCCTCAGCAAGTTGCCTTTTGATGGGCTTCATTGATCGTAGAGTCACAGAATGGTTCGGGTGGGAAGAGACCTTAAAGACCACCCAGTGCCACCCCCTGCCCTGGGCAGGGACACCTCCTACCAGACCAGGTTGCTCCAAGCCCCCTCCAACCTGGCCTTGAACCCCTCCAGGGATGGGGCAGCCACAGCTTCTCTGGGCAACCTGGGCCAGGCCCTCACCACCCTCACACCAAAGAATTTCTTCCTAATATCTCATTAAATCTCCCCTCTTTCAGTTTAAAACTGTCTTATGGTTCCCCTCCCTGACCAAGAGTCCCTCCCCATCTCTCCTGGAGCCCCCTGAGGGACTGGAAGGGGCTTGAAGGTCTCCTTGGAGCCTTCCCTTCTCCAGGCTGAACCCCCCCCAACTCTCTCAGCCTGTCCTCCCAGCAGAGGGGCTCCAGCCCTCCCAGCATCTCTGTGGCCTCCTCTGGCCCTGCTCCAACAGGTCCATGTCCTTCTGATGTTGGTGGCCCCAGAGCTGGAGGCAGCAGAGGGGGGAGTCTTCCCAGGACGGAGCAGAGGGAACAGGTCCATGTCCTTCTGATGGTGGTGGCTCCAGAGATGGAAGCAGCACTGGGGGGGTGGGTCTCCCCAGGGTGGAGCAGAGGAGCTCCAACAGGTCCATGTCCTTCTGATGTTGGTGGCCCCAGAGCTGGAGGCAGCAGAGGGGGGAGTCTTCCCAGGACGGAGCAGAGGGGCAGAATCCTTTCCCTTGCCCTGTGCAGGGATGGGCATCTCCATGCACACACCGCTCTGGGATGCAGGAGGAGCATGGGATGGAGATGGGGATGAGCAGCCTGACAGGTCCCATCCCATCCTGCCTGGATTGCTGAGCTCTGGAGGGGCAGGGGCTCCTGTGGGGGTGGGGAACCCATGAGATGGGCTCACATGGCCAGGCTGGGGGGATGAACCAAAGTACCCCAGTAACTGTGGGAGAAAGTGCTTGGAGTGGGAGTGACCCATGGGATGAAAGACCCCTTGGAAAAGTCTCCCCCCCTGATGTGAGGGCACGAGCTTGAGCAGTAGAGCCCAGGACGGGTTTATCAGGTGCAAGGCAGCTTGGAGAAGTAAAATAACATAGAGGTGACCTCACTGCTCCCCCCAGAGCAGTTTGTCTCGGGTGGGAAACTAAACCCACCACCTGGAGCTCTGCTCTGCTGTGAACCACCTTCCCTGGAGCTGCGTCCCGCTGCGGGAGCTGCGGTGGGATGCCCTAGTGAAGATGTTCCCCGTCTCCCCCCTCCCCTCCTCTCCACTTTCCATAGCGTATGTCGGCGCAGGAGGCCATGCCGGTGATGAACGGAGTCTCAGGCCCAGACAGCGACGGGTACAACCACTGGTCTGAGATGAAGCCAGCACAGCCCAAATCTTTATCTCCTCCCCAGCCTCAGAAGCAGCTGAGCGACTCTTACTCCAATACGCTCCCCGTTCGCAAAAACGTGCCACCGAAAAACAGCTACGCATCAGGTGAGGGTCCATCCTCCTCATCCTCCACTCTGGGGGGATCTGGGGGGACTCTGGGGGTGCTGGCTGTGCCGGTCCATCCTCCTCATCCTCCACTCTGGGGGGGCTCTGGGGGTGCCGGCTGTGCCAGTCACAGCCGTGGTGAGCAGGGTTGCTGCTGGTGGTGACGGGTCGGTGAGCGGCAGCATCCCTCCGGCGTCAAGTGCTGCTCATGCCTCTGGATCGGGGATTGGGAAATGAGTGGAGGCAGGTTTTTGGCTGGGTGGGCTTTCACCCCGTGGGGCAGGGTTTCCAGGAGGAAAATCTTGAGGAATCTCACTCTGAGGGGTGGCCGGTCCCTTTGCTTTGGCCGGTGTGCGATGCCAAGAGCGGTGGCCAGGTCTTGCCCCTTATTAGTAGGGAAGGTGGGAGTCAAACACGGAAGGTTTTATTGGCACCTGGGGTAAAATAAGTGAGGGCAGGGACCTGGACTACCCCTACCTGGGTTTGGCCGCGGAGTGAAGGGCGCTCCTTGGTCTCTGTCTCCCACCAGCCGAAAACAAGACGCTGCCGCGCTCCAGCTCCATGGCCGCAGGGCTCGAGAGGAACGGCAGGACGAGGGTGCAGGCCATTTTCTCTCACGCTGCCGGAGATAACAGCACCCTCCTGAGCTTCAAGGAGGGCGACCTCATCACGCTGCTGGTGCCGGAGGCCAGGGACGGCTGGCACTACGGAGAGAGCGAGAAAACAAAAATGTGAGTGCTGTGGCCGTTCGTATGAGGAGCGGCTGAGGGAGTTGGGACTGTTTAGTGTGAGGAAGAGGAGGCTGAGGGGAGACCTCATCACTCTCTACAACTACTTGAAAGGACACTGTAGAGAGGTTGGTGCTGGTCTCTTCTCACAGGTAATTAGTGACAGAACGAGAGGGAACGGCTTCAAGCTCCAACAGGGGAGGTTTAGATTGAACATTAGGAAGGAATTTTTCACCGAAAGAGTGGTCGGGCATTGGAACAGGCTGCCCAGGGAGGGGGTGGAGTCCCCATCCCTGGCTGTGTTTAAGGGCCGTTTAGATGCAGTGCTGAGGGACATGGTGTAGGGGAGGACTTTGTAGAGTAGGGGAGATGGTTGGACTCGATGATCCCAAGGGTCTCTTCCAACCTAGACCATTCTATGATTCTATGATTCTATGACCTGTGCAGCCTCTCCTGGGTCCTCCATGAATAATCATGGGTTTGGGTTCATCCCCCTGCCTTTGCCTTTCAGGAGGGGCTGGTTTCCTTTCTCCTACACGCGGGTCCTCGACAGCGATGGCAGCGAGCGGGTCCATGCGAGGTAGGACCATCGTGCTGAGTCCCTGGGGGGGGTCCGTGCTCCCTTCCCAGAGTGGGTTTGTGGGCTCGGGGTGGGAATATTCCCCTTCCCCAGGACATGATGCACATCCTTGAAGAATAACTCCCAGCACAGGCGGGTGGTACCTGGCTGGGGCAGGGGGGAACTTTGGGGTGGATGGGCAGCTTGGGGTGTCTCAGCTGGTGCTGATGGCTCTGCTCTGGGTGCTGTCATCCCCCCCACACACACAGCCTGCAGCAAGGGAAGAGCAGCAGCACCGGCAACCTGCTGGACAAAGACGACATCGCCCTCCCGCCGCCCGACTACGGCATGGCCTCCCAGGGCTTCCCGGGCCAAGGGGTCAACACCTTCAAGCAGAGGCCGTACAGCGTGGCCGTGCCCGCCTTCTCCCAGGTGAGCCCACCACGGGGGGGGCTTCTCCCACTTCGGGGTGGGTGGGTGGTGGGGTGGGATTTTACTGGGAGATGCTTGAGCCAAACCCCAGGCGTTGGTCCCTGAGGTGACCCCAGGTGTCTGCGGCGTCCCCGTCCCACCAGGGGTTTTAAAGCAGAAGGATGACACGTGTTGAAACATCCTGTACTGAAGCCCTGGACTGGGCACTGGTGAGGCCCCACCTCGAAGGCTGCGTCCAGTTTTGGGGCCCTCACCATAAAAAAGACCTTGAGGGGCTGGAGCGGGTCCAGAGAAGGGCAACGGAGCTGGGGAGGGGTCTGGAGAACAAGTCATACAAGGAGAGGCTGAGGGAACTGGACATGTTTAGTTTGGAGAAGAGGAGGCTGAGGGGACACCTTAT